AAAAACTGCAGGGTGAACCCGCAAGAACTTTTTAGATTTGGATTCAGCGTCACTTAATCTATAAGAATATGTAATTTTCTTTTAGTTTAAAGAGGTGTGCAACGAAACTAAACATTTTGAGGCACTAGACGACGGGCTACTTCGAATGAGCGCGCGCTCGGAAAGACTTTACCACACGTCAAATATTAATGATATTCCGACTAATGGAGCACCCCTAACTTTTCTAAATCGGTCAGAACTCCCCACAGATCAGTCAAAATCGCAAAAAGTCGCTTGTTTCCATGGCAATAAGCGTCTAGACCAATCAGAACACTGGATTTTGACTTTTTGACTGACCAACTTTGCGTATGTCAGCTGCTCATTGACTTGACTAAGCTCGTCGGCTCAACCAGTGTATGAAATTTGATCACTGGAATGAAATTTGATCACTTGGAATGTAAATTGCTAGCGCTGCATGATAATAGTTACTGGACTATTATAAGGTGTCGCTGCATGATAAAAAATTAGTTGAATAACTGGACTATTGGTCGAATATTTAAGACTTTAATTAAGTTTGCAATTTTTACGTTAGTCGCGTGACTGGTTTGACCACCCCTAGATCCGCCCCTGAACCTTAGTATACCTCCCTCGCGTACTGAACGGCACAAAAAGTCATTTCTACCCTCTGCGATTAGATTATGGAAATTACTGCCTGTAGAAGTTCGAAACTGTCAAAATCTTGCTATGTTTAAGAAAAGATTAATTAAATGGAACAAGTATCCTGTTCGTAATCGCCTATATTATTTTGGTGATCGTTATATAGCTGTACTCCATACAAGATTAAGGTTGTATAGGCAACAGTGCGTCAGATTACAACCTATATCGCACGAATTGTGTTCCCCCCTTGCCAATGTGTGCTTGTTGAATATCAGATGAAACAGTCAAACACTTGTTTCTACATTGCGACCGTTACACTGCTCCTCGTAGCATTTTGCTTACCTCTGCCGCTCGGTTAATAGGAAATACTTGGTTGAATGCATCCAATCGAACTAAATTTAACTGGATGTTGAATGGTATTCCAAGTAAATCCTATTGTAAAATAGTAATTTGTTTACAATAGTTCAAACGTATATTGCTGAAACTAAAACTGTATTCCGTTTATGTATGTGCATGCCTGTGTGTGTGTTTTTCATTTCTTTTTAACAAAATCTTGTATATTAATTAAATTACATAAGTTTCCTTGATAAGCATAAGCTCTAGCTGTTTTTGAAACAAATGTAAAGACTATATATTGTTTAAATAATAATAAAAAAACATTCCAGATCAACCAAACGTGAATCGAATAATCAATACATAACGAGATGTAATTAATCCATTACATCACGAGTAGACTCTCAGGAAATGGAAGGAAGAAATTCTGATATGTCATTAGCATCACAAATAACTAACATCTTTCCCAACTTGGCCTTGTAGCTCAGGGGCCGGTTGTTCAAAAGCTGCTTAATTTAAAAATTAAACGAAACTTACCTGTAAGTTGAAGTTTAATTTGAATTCTGCAAGTCATCAGCGGGGAGGGAAAGAGTTGTATGAGAGAGCATACGCATGCGCAAAATAGCCAGTTTTCAAAGTAAACCTGAGTCCATTGCCGGAGTGGAAAAGTCCGGCTGGGTTTTAATATTTAAGGGTTTTTGGGCATACAACTCTTCCAGTCCCCGCTGATGACTTGCAGAATTCAAATTAAACTTCAACTTACAGGTAAGTCTCGTTTAATTTTTAAATTCTACTACGTCATCAGCTATGGTCGTGTCAGAGTTGTATGAGATTTCACAGTGGGCAATGGAGGCAGGTTCTGAAGTTTCCGAGTAACACAAGGAAACCCTGTTTAACACAAGCAACTTGTACATTGATGTATATATATATATATATATATATATACAGGGTGTATCAAAATAAACGCAATTCATCTTTTGTGCTTAATAACTTTCGGAATACTATTTCTAGTTAAACGCTTTTAGGCTTACTTCAAAGCCTGTTCTTTTCTCTTTCAAACAAACTATTATCCTTGTCTCCAATGCTAGTAATAA